ACAACTAGCTGTGTGCCCGTTCTACATATGGGAATCTTGTAGTAAGTTGAAACCTTCTTATATTCAGAAAAGGAGTTGGTTTGCACATTAATTTAGTGTGCATTTTTCCAGATATGCTGGCAAAACTACAGTATAGGAATAAATATAAACCTTTGCAAATACAATATCTGACAGTTTCAAGCCTAAACGAATGCTTTTGAATTAAATGTCACCCCGTGTTTGTCCATATTTTATATCTAATGATAAAAGGAATTGCTTTATAGATCTATGAGGCATTGCCCTAAGGTAGGCCTGTAATTGAAAGTTACTTTCCACACTGGTTAAAAGTAGTTAAAATACTACCTCAACCTCACTACTGCACACTTTATTCGGGTTGATATTTTCATTAACAAAGGTGCTCACTTCTTGACCACAAAACACTAAGAAATAAGGTCCTTAATGTGTTACCAACAGACATACATACACAAATACAGAATTGAATTAGGGGATTTGCTACGCTTTAACCAAAGCAAATTACAAACAAAATAATTATTTGAAAGTTTTGATAGTGTCATCAAATTTTATGATAATCGTATTTAGGCTTAATCAAACTGTAAAATTGGTGTAAATCTGTTGGCAAATATATAAATAAGTAAATAAATACACAGTCCACAAAACATTAATACGTTAACAACAAAAAGCTTTAAAAATTCATGATGGTTTGCTAAAAAAAATCTTTCATTAATGTTTTATCATTTTCATGGCATAAACCAACAGTTTGAAGTCCAGACAGAAAACGCAAAAATTATACAGTAAGACATCAATTAAATTTAATAAGGAATAAGGCGCAGCACTAATGATCAGTAAGTTGTAAATAGTGATGTATTTGTACGTAAAAATGATTCTTACTGCAACCATCGGGTCTAAGGAAAAGTACCAGTACCAAAAACCAACGTTTACAGTTAAAAAAATAACTATAGTACTTACGACCAATTCAAACTGTCCTTGTAATCAAACTCTATTATAGCTGTTAATCTGTTGGCAGGGTGTCCACAGAAAATTTGTCATTAATTTCCATGACTTTCCATGACTATCCATGACCATTTACCATCGATTTCCATGACTCACGAACTTTACTCAAATTATAATATAACATACACACACAAATAAAACTGCCTAGATTTTGCAGAAACTACTGAAATATGTATTAACAGACAACAATGGAGTACAATGGTACAACAATGAACTAATACAAACTCAAAAATCATAAAATAATACAACTGTAATAAATTGAATTGTCGAAAATTTGTGAAAAATCCTGAAAAATGCTGCAGTACTCGGAGTTACGGCGGACTAGAGCATTGAATAGTTCCCTCAAATCATCCATCATGGGGAATTTCCATGACTTTCCATGACCTTTTGCCTATTTCCATGACTTTCAATGACCAGAATTTTTTCCATGACTTTCCATGACTATCCCTGACTTTCCAGAATGTGGACACCCTGGTTGGCAAATATATAAATAAATAAATACACAGGCCACAAAACATTGATACGTTAACAACGCAATGCTTTAAAATAGAATAGAATAGAATAGAATAGAAAAGTGCTTTATTGAATACATACTATGTACAGTAGGCTACATGAAATGGGTGCGATAATTTATACATGCACATACAACAATGGTCATACGACCGTCTGCTGGGTTGGCATTAATGTCCATTCAATATTAATGAAATAAAATTGTCCCACATAAATCAACATACTGAGCACTAAAACAAAATAAAATAACACTTCTTTATGCACACATATACATAGATATATACACATACACATGTATGCATATATACACATATATTTATACTCTAAACATATTGTAATACAAAATTTTAAAAATTAAATTCCCTAACTAGCTCCCATCTACGTTTCCATGCAATTTTTAAAAAACTCCCAAGGCCCCGCCAATCCTTCCCATTAAAATAATCCACAAACTCCTCATATTGTATTTTTTGTTTACCAAAATACAAGAGTCGCAAGTCATTGAACACAGGGCAACTAGCCACAAAGTGTAAAGCAGATTCATTCTCGTTTAAATTACACAAGGAACATGTGTGGATTTTATTTTTTTGCCTTTGACACTATAGACAGAAAGGCCTTAATTTATAAATTATTTAGTATAGGAGTTTCAACCAAATTTGCCAAGCTTCTCGAAAATCTTTACGATAGAACCAATGTTTCTGTATGGTGTAAAAACGGCATTACAAGTAGTTTTGAGTCCAAGATGGGTTTAAAACAGGGTTGTAATCTTAGCCCTACTTTATTCTCAATATTTATAAATGATTTGCCAGAATTTTTTGAGGGCGGATGTTTATTTGGAGGTCAGAAAATAAATATTTTAATGTATGCGGATGACATAGTTTTAATAGCTCCCACAGCTGTTGTACTGCAATGCTTTAAACATTCATGATGGTTTGCTCAAAAAATCTTTCAGTTGATGTGGTATCAGTACCAAAGTTATTAATATTAATCTCCCTTGGTTTTGGGTTTTTGAAAATCAAAGTTATTTCCAATTAAAGCATTATTTATAAGCAACTTTTAATGTTGACATATTAATGACAGTTTGAAGAAACCACCTTTTTCCAAACAAAGGTTTCTTATTTAAAAGATTATGTAATCTCTAAACGATTATCAGTATATCTAGCAAACATTCAGAGGAAATGTTAAAACAATCGCACAGATCTGTGGTTTTGGACGTTTGTAGTTTTAATTTCTAAGTACGAAGGCTATGTATTCTAGGGAAAAGTACCGATATCGTTGTCGAAATGTGGTTGTGAATAATTAGGCCTACGTAGGGTCTACCCAAGAGATAGGCTAAGGGCCAAGATTTGCGGTATGGTCCAGCGATTGCAGCACAAAGAGGCAAGTAGAAACCAAAAGTGACAAATTGGAAAAGCAAGTTTAGCTACATCTGTAAGTTAAACCTCTGTTACGATCACAGCGAAATCAGAAAGATCTTCCAAGATCGCAGCAACATTTACTATCACCCACTGCAGTTGTGATTTTTTACTTTGCACTTTACACAACTGTCCTTGAAGCGCCATCAATTAGTGGAAACCTTTTTTGTAAGCTATTGGTGATGATGATTAAAAAAATGTAAGTTTCCCAGCACTATACAACACTGATTCACGGTCTTTTCCCCGATTATCAAAACTCAAGAACAATCGTTGCACTTGCGATTAATTAAACCGGATAAGTAAGGCACAAAGTTTTTAATCTCACTTGGTTTGGATGTGCTTACAAAACTTGATCGGAAATGGTTGCGGTATTTGTAAACTATATTTAATGTTAACAAATCAGTGACAGCTAGAAGTGAGAAATAATCCAAACAGCTGATCGTTATTTCATCAAATGTAAAAGTAAACATTGGGAGAAAATTTGTCAAAAATCTAACAAAATTGGTTTTTTGATGGTTCTTTATTTTGTTTTCAAAGAAGCGAGGCTGTGATTGTGCACCTTTTTGTTTATATGATTCTCACTACAAGCAATGCAAAGTCTCGGGATTTAAGAAAAAAACTATTTAATATTTTAGGTTTTTGGGTTACCAGACTCCTTAAAGCACCTCCTTTTGTTGACAACTGGCCAGCTGACTATTTAATACAACAAGGGAATATATTCTGCAGATTTGCGAAGTATAACACTTCTAATTGCACATTCTTTTGATTGTTTGTTTAAAATTGATTTTTACTGAAGTTAACAACACAAAACAGCGTGCTTTTATTATGCACGTAATCTGTGTATGCTTGTAAATAGTTTGGCAACACTTAAAGATACTACAACTACAATCAGCTGTTGCAGTGTTTCCAATTTCGTTCAATGCTTGAATTTAACCTAACCTATTACATGTTGTTTAGTGTTTGAAAGACTAATTATTTCTATGCTTTATAATAGCTGTAGAAAAAATATAATGTGTAACGAGTGCGAATTGCCTTTGCTGCACTCGAGAAACTTTCCACACTCGAAGTGCAGCAAAGGCAGTTTGCACTCGCGTTACACATTATATTGTTCCTACAGTTACTATAAGGCGGGTTACACACCGGTATCGCAGACATAATGTCGCAGATATTTCTGATATCGCGGGCATGATGTCTGCGACATATAATAAAATACAACCATGGGAAGAGGCACGTGCTGGCGACATGAAAGTGAAGGAATCACAACATTCATCAGTTTAAATTATGTCATCGTCAGAAAAAGATGATGTGTTGTTGCTGTTGTTCTTTCTACAAAAACATTTAAGATAACTTCATGGTAATTTTTCCAAAATACATTCTAATTAATTGTATTACAGTACTTACGTAATTTCCTTATGGTGTCAATTGAAGTATTATAATATCACAATACTACATTTCACACCATAAGGCAACTAAGTAAGTAAAAAAGCGCCAAAACTACTAGAAATGTGTTCTGCGCATGCGCGGGACCAAGAGACACGAGACATGTCTGTCCATACACCGACCGGTTGGTTCGCTCGAGACACGTGTCTGCGACACGAGTCGCAGGCAACGTGTCTGCGACACTGGTGTGTATAGCTTTATAAGTTAACATAGGTTGGTTTTCGAGGGGCATGTCGCAGGCACGAAAAATATCTGCGACATCATGTCGGAGATACCGGTGTGTAACCCGCCTTTAACATATAAATAATTAGTCTTTCAAACACTGTACAACACGTTTTTAGGTTAGGTTAAATCTAAACATTGAACGAAATGGGAAGTGCTGCACCAGCTGATCGTAGTCGTAAAAAGTGTTGCCAACTTATTTTCAAGCGTACACATATTACGTGCCTAGTAAAAGTCCGCTGTGTTGTGTTGTTTGGTTGGAATACTGGTGTGCGGCAAAAAAAAAAAAAAAAAACAGTGTGCGGCAAAAGTAATTAAATGCAGCAAATAGCAACTTTCTGTGCTATAATCAGAGCAAGGAAGGCCACTGTCAGGTGACTATTGGAAAATTTACTTACAATAATGTTTTCAAAATTAATTATTATTCAAGGTATTATTCACTACCTACAGCAGTTAGAAAATATAGCTATACAACTTGGCAATATTAACATTTCATAATGAAACCTGGTGTGAGCAAACATTCTGTCCAACACGTGTCAAGTTCAAACAAACAAAAATTCGGATATAACACGTTAACTAACAATACTGTTTTCAAAATTCACTACGATCAAGGTAGTATTCAAAACCTACAGCACTTGGAAAGCTCAGTTGTAAAACTTGACAATATTGACATTTCACAATGAAACCTGGTGTGATCATACATTCTGTCCAACAAGTGTTAAGTTCAAATATGTAGGAATGGTTCACAGTATCACAATATCACTGCTTATGGCTATCAAGAATTTGATACCTTTCCTAGCAGCTAAGTGTAAGGCTTGGACTTTATTTGATCCTGATCCGTCAAATGTGAAAGGCGGTATGGTGCTAATGTCTATCATTACGTTTTCTAGAACAAAAAATACACAAACTTACATAAAATCATTACAGTTAAAATAAAAAATAAACACTGAAAACTGTAGCGTCTTGCGTCTTAAAATAATAAAAAAAACTTTGGTATCTATGATAAATAATACAAGCACAAAAATCTTGAATAGTGGTGTAATAAAATCTTAGTACTAAGGCTAATCTCTTCAGCTTTATGGTTGACAGTAAAATTGTCTACAATAAACTAACTTTAGAAATTTTCTGCCTCTAGACAACTAAAAATGGTTCCCGGTTAATTTAAGCTAAGGCATTAAATTAACTTTATCTTAAAATCATTTAGAACGTCCCTATAAATAAACGGGATTTTGTAACACACTCAAACTAATGACATCAAAATAAACTCTACTTCAACAAATTTGATAAAGTGATTTTAGCTTGAGAGTAAATGTTATGTACAAAAGCCCCACACTGAGAACTGAGAACTGTCATGTCAAACATATCATAGAACTAAGTGTGATAGTTACACAAACAACTTTTTTGTTAGGCATTTGAAATTCATGTAAAACCCATGTAATAAAGGCAAACAAAGTTTTTGTTTAAAATAGTTAAGTAGTTTTAGATGTAACAGGAATATGTACTAGGCGAATGGAATCCTATTATATTAATTAACAAACCAGCTTATCTTACTATTACATGAGCTGTGACTTTTGCTGCTGTCAAAATGTTGCTTGGTTTTGGATGAACAGGAATTTTAAAATGATTATTAAATGATAGACAATTACTATTCCCATTTCAAGCAAGCAACATTTTTTGACATTACACTATACTTACCAAAACTGGTTTGTGGATTTTTTGACTGATAATAATTTAATGTAAATAATATTGAAAACAAGCCAAATTAGGGGGCTTAACCTAATTCTATCTATTTGCCTTTATGTTTCTATGTCTGTACATTGTGTAGCAATTATTCCGTTGGAAATAACATTATGTTCACTTATTCATTAAAGTTATCCAAAATATTGTTGAAAAGACTGTATAGTATGTATAATGAAGTTCTAAAAGGTAATTTTGATAAAACGGTAATGTGACCATAAAATAAGTTTAATACAAGTTTTAAAGATCAACATGGAAAGGAAACAACTTCTAATTTAAGCAATACAGTGACGGCTTTGAATATTGATACAACTAGACATTCCATCCCCATGTTAAAGCTGTCGTCAGTTTTTTATCAAAATTGTCGTAGTTGATATGAGCCACCGACATATTGTGCTGATCTAAAATACTATTTTATGTTGAATACACAAACTTTTTTACCAAGACAAACTGGAACAACTTATTGTGAGCTATAGCAACAGTTATGACCGATCAACTATGTCAGCAATAAAAAATAAGGTAGAAAATATAACTTTAGACACTAGCGCTCATTTTGTTACTGGCTCACAACTAAGTTTTCTTTAATAAAAAATTGCTTACAGCTGGTCTATATACATGGGCTGTCTACTTGAGTATCAATTAGTCAATGGTGATGGTTTGCAGGAAGAATATTTCTTTAAATCAATTAGCATTAGATACATGAGGTATGTGGTTAAAGTTACAAAAAATAAATATTGCTATAAACTGGCTTTTGTCATTCATTATTTGGTTTACAAATAATTTAGGCCAGGTTTAGACAGTCAAAGACATTCTCACCAGTTCAGTATATACAGAATAAAGTGAATAATTAAGAGATAACTACGAGAACAATTAATCTAAATTTGTGCATTTTAGATGCAGCTCTGCAGTTTTCCGGAAGTAAAGAGTGTAAATTGGCATCTCTGGCATTACTGACAAACAAACAAACAAATAGACAGACAGACAGAAATTGATATTGGATTCGTTTTAGCTTTCTTAGAGCACAAAACATAAAAATACCCAGAAATCTTCAAGATTCTATGCAATGTATAGAGAAAACTATAATTTTAAATAGATGTAAATGGTACAAATTCGACTTCAAAATCCTATATGTGCAATGAACGTGTAAAAATATCTTTAAAATATCTCTTACTAGTATTGGTATTCAGGCCTTTAAACTTGGGATCAATAGGTACTTCTACTGTTTTGTATGCAACACTCAGTTCATCCAATATTTTCTCAAATGTGTTTATGTTGCATTCTTCAGGCAGAATGTTTTCATGTTTTACATCGTTGCTCTGAAACAAAGTTAAAATAAAAATACCCCCGCCGCAGCAAACCTGCAGACTAAGCGAATTTCCATTTGACTGATTGGATTTACACTGAAATGTCTAGGCCTACTTAAAAATATAACATTTATTCCCGATTTAAATAGAATTAGTTTTAACAAGTACTTAGGTTTGCTGCATCAGGGAGGGTAAAACTGTTTTTTTTTTTTTGTAAAATGTTAATAGTTAGTAAGAAATAAAAACATTTTCCAAATTTGATCAAAATATGTTCATAAACAAGCAAACTACAACAGTTTACTTATTCTCCATAAGAATAACATGGAAATTTTAAATTTACAATTTTTTTGAATTTTCTCCGTAACCATTAGGAGCATAATAGCGCTTCAATATACTAAATTATTTTTTTTTTAAGCTCTACAAAATGGTTTGGAAAGAAATTGCTAAATTTTATGTTTTTTGGGTCAAAAATGGGAAAAACCTATTTTTACCCCATAAAACCCCCCGTAAACCCCCGTTACCGATGGTGTTTTTGGCCTCTAGGGACCTCAAAACAAAAAAGTAAATCGGTCCCGGGTCCAGGTCTTACCATGAGTACTACGGTAATAGCTTATTCCCTATATGGGAAATTCGCTAAAAGAAAAGAGTTCCAAGTCTGGGTCTTATTGTGCCATCTACGGTAAAAGCTTTCTTAATTTAACTTCCCTTTGGGAGAAATTTGCTGAAAAATTATCTGCCTACTCTGTGCAAACCAACTGAAATCTAAAACATTCTGAAAAGTCTACTTACATCTAACACATCTACACACTACATCTACATACATTTATAAGGGCGTTAAGAGTGGGCGATTTCTCGGGTAACTTATTGGTTTTACCCCACTCGTGCATCTTACTAATTTTTTGGTTGTTGGGGGCATGTTTCCTCCTTCTATCTGAATTAGCCCAAAAGAGTTCAAATTCATGTTCAAGGTCTTCTTTTGTTGCCATCCTGTATGTAGATCAAATCCTGTAAATAGAACAAATAATAATTAATACCCTTTATACCTTACTCCCAGCAAAATTATTTACTGATAAAAAAATTATAATAAACCTTTATATTTTAATTTAATTATCTTAACTAAATTAAAAATTAAGTTGCACTTAAGTTTCGGGTGCTTGCTGAAAATAAGACTGGCCTGATAAACCTACTGTATACTGTACAGTGAGTGTCAATTTGACGTTTGCACATTGCGTGTAAACATTTCAGTCCTGCCTAGACTCCTATTGTACTACTTTTATTTAAAATAGTTGCAAATATACAGAACAATAACAGAGAGAAAACCTAAGTTACAGATACGATAGTCTATTTATCAAGCTAATACACACGTTGGAATAGGCGACCCAGCTAACCTACACTTCCTGGAATTCAAATAAGGCACTTATTGAGACCCTCTAAAGTTCAACTGTATGCATGTTTCAATTCTTTCATTTGTCTTACTTTCACCAGTAATTAAAACTAGTTAAATTTGTCAATACTTATTATTTTTTATGTATTAGTATTTTTTTCTGGTTTCATTAACATGATCTGATTAAAGGCTGGGTATTGCTGGACGCTTCTTTTCTGTTAGAATAAGGCCACCTCTTTAACAGCTTGTTACAGCAGTAGGGCTAGGTTAGGTGATTATGTTTAAAAGGACTAGATATTTAAACTACAAAATTCAATTTTTACATCCACATTAACCATCTCTGACAGATTCATCCAATTTGACAAGGCCATATTGCATGAAGTCCTAAGTAAAAACTGTTATAATGATGCACTAAGCAACAAAAGGATCTGTAGACCCTAGAATTATTGAAATCAGGAATTGACATAAGACGTGGATTGAAACTAATCAGTGAACGATTTACTCACAATGACAGACATGCTTCAACAAGAGATAATTATGGTATTAACATAGGCCTATATGACTCATTTATTTATTCCATCGCTGTCAGTGTGGACAGATAGTGTGGATGAATTTTGTAAACTTATAAGAAAATGTGTAGATATGTCTTTTAACACATGGTTTGCTGAGTGTGCTGTTTTGGTTTTTACTCTTGGCTAGGTAAGATTCAGGTACTCTTTCACTTACGTTTTTATCGTTATGTTATTTTTTGATGATGCTTTAAGCCACACAAGAGTTGTTGAGAGGCCCAAATACACTAAAAAGGATACTGTTCTCCTTGCAGATTCAATCAACTATGATCTTTTATTACTCAGAAAACGGTGCTCCATAAACAAAATGCAAGTAAATGTTATAGTTCGGCCGCTTAGAAAGCGACCTCCTCCAGCATTGGTTTAGCATTAGCGTGCAGGTCGTTTTCTAAGCGGCCGAACTATAGTAAGACAAAATATGTTAATTTTGGCTTCTTTTGTTTTGACACCCATTCTTTTTTAATTTTTCATTCCCCTACCTGCAATATCCACTTATGTACCTGCCAACCTTTAGAAAAAGTTAAATCGATTACATACTTGGGAGTTTTGCTTGATGAGAAACTTACTTTTGAACCCAATATTTTAGAACTACACTCAAAATTAAGATCACAAATTATAAATTTCTATTTTCTATGAAATTTGTGTAACACCTCACTTTTACGAACGCTTTATTTCGCATTGATAAATTCAAGATTACAATATGCCTTGCCTTGCTGGAGAGGTACTTACAAAACAGTAATAAGTTAGAGAAGGTAAGAACAACTCAAAATCTTTTCTTGCATCCGGAGTGGAAATAGAGAAAATATAATTCCAAATCATCCTCACAGTACAAGAAGTTTTACAAATAAATCTATCAAATTGCCCAAAGTAAACAAAACTTTTTTTAGTTATTCATTTCAATACTTGGGTCCAAAATTTCAACTTTCAACAATATTGAAAATATAAGAAATTTTAAATATTTTTGTAAAAGAAGCTTAGTTGGCTTAGTTTTCAACAGGATGTAGGTCATCTCGCCAACTCTTTAGTATAAGATTATGTTAACTTATTTTATGTGTATTTTTTAAATACTTTCTTAGTCTAAGTTTTCCCAGATGTTACAGCAGGCGGATGAAATATTTGTCATCTGATGCTAGGCTAAACAATTTATTAATTATTATATATGTTTAACTTTGTAACCATGGTCACACTACTTGAAAAAGTGACCAGTTTTAATTTCTCAACAATTATTTTGATTGTTAAATGTTTTGTGATATGGGAAATTAATTCATTTATTCAAATAATTATGGAAGGCCGGACGCCCAACAACAGCTCGAACTAAGGCTCACGAGATCAAAGTGAAAGAAGTTTTGGATTCTGACAGGTGTCTAACCATTGCCCACACCAGTGAGAAGACCGGCCCTTCAGTGGGAACTGTCCCCACTATCATAACGAAGAATTTGGCGATGAGAAGCTGGTGACGAAAGTCCTGAGTGAGGAACAAAAAATGTCAAGGGTGGAGATTTCGCAAGAAATTTTGGACTGCGTCCAGCAAGATCCAAATTTTCTGGACAACCTTATTACCTGGGTGTCCCAGTATTGTGAACAAAATGTCCATGTTGAGGGCAAGGGTACTCCGACACAGATTTTCTGAGCTTATAGCTAAACTTTACAGCGTTACTCGACAGTACGCTCCACGTTGGCGTGACGACCTAATGAAAAAAACACTTGGAGCAAATATCGACCTTCTGTTTCAACAAAAGTCCGTAGGCGTTCACTAAAGTGCTCCTGAATGGTGAAGGACCCCTCTATCAAACCCAACTGATTGGACCCCCCTCCACTGCTCTTTTGAGGCTATAGTGAAACAGTTCCGATACTTATTGAATGGACCCTCTAAATATACCAATATTTAGACAAAAACAAAATACCGTAAACTTAATGTTATGAACATTATGAAAACAAATAATAAACAAAACAAGAACTTAAATAACTGAATGTAAAAGGAACAAGGAAATATAAACTAAAAAAACCCTACAAACCAGGGTAGGCCTGTAATATTGATACTGTTCATACGGTAACCACATAGAAATCACAAATTCATGGCAGTGGCCGTGATAAGAGCCCGCAGGCCCCCCCGCAAGTTTGTTTGCCGGGCCCCCCTCTCCCAATAATCTTTAAAAACATCACATGTATTACCGCCTTAACTTGCACCTTAGCTTGGCACGGCATCTCCCGAGGCACCGAGGCGTCATCGTCATCTTCCATGATCACGGCAAAATCGTGAATACTTCCCGTAGTCATGGAAGAAACATTAGCCTATCATAGAAATCCATGGTGATGGTTTTTCGGCGTCAACCGCGTCGTCAATTGTATTTCACTGCCAGACATTTCGCTCTTTATTTATTTATTTGAAACAAATTGAACACACATTTTTTACATATCATTATACACCATGCTGCAAAAGCCTGACATATGGCTTGTCTGCAGCTCATTAAACTAAAGGGAAATCAAGTCCAAACTCTTATCACTTCCATCAGTAAGTGTTTGTGTCCTCCTTATATCTCTAGCCTGTTATCACAATCATCATGAAGTCCCAAAAAATATGCAGCCAAACTACTATGCTACTTTGAAAACTCTTTACAATAAAACAAAAACCCAATTTGATTACAAAAATTGAAATTCTTTAGTTGTTCATGACAACCATAATAATTCAAAAAGCTGAATAACACTTTTTTGTGCATTTATACAGTTTGCACTTACTATGAAGTGGCATCCTTATTGGCTAGGCTGAGACTCACGTCGAAAACCATCACCATGGATTCCAATGACACCGGCCGCGAAAGCCTACGCATGAAGATTAGCCTATCATAGTCGACCACGATTGCAACCAAACCTATGACATCATCAGATAACCACATCATTGTCTCTGCGTACACGGCCCAATCCCTAATATCTCCCGTGATCCGTGGTGACGGGGAAATCATTTTTTGCTCAACCGCGGCAAAATACCTACGAGAGATATATCTCGCGGAAAAAGAAACGTCCTTATCGTCTTCCGCAATCATGGCAAAATATTGAACATCTCCTGCGGTCGCTGAGACATCGTCACTGTCACCCGCGGAGAAATGTTGTCGTAGATATTTGCAATAGCGGCAAAAGCGTCTAGGCCTTATCTTTCAATTTCGTGAGCATGATTCTCGCGGACATAAAAGCTTTTACTTTTAATTGGGCATTATTGTATTGAGTACTGTGAAAATCAGCTTGAGATTGATTTTCTGACTTTGTGCTTGATCTCTCAGGCTAGCATCAATGAAAGAAAAAAAATATTTATTAGCTAGTGTCCTACTTAACACCTAGGTTAATTCGCCGATATGATTGTAAAAAAAATGTCAAGTTCATTTAGTTGAATCAGCATTGAGGGCCCTCTCTGGTGTGACCCGCCGGGGGCTAAGAGGATTAACAGTAATGTTTTATCCTCCTAGGCCTGGAGCCACATTGGTTTTAAATACGGCACTATTATAGCGCCTTCACACAGTCCACGAGGACAGTTGATGCAACCTGCATGACTGATGACAATTCTTACTTAGGTTGGTAGAGAATTTATAGTGATCAGGCAAGTAATAGTGTCAGTTTAGCTGTTGTAAACTACGGTACTTGTTCTAGTGGTCTTTCAGGTTTTAACAAATTGTCTTCATAAAATGTTAGGTAAATATTGTTATGATAGGGCTGAGCCTATCGCACAATGGCGGGTCCGTGTCCCGGTAAAATTTCCCAAAAATCCCAGTCAAGGCTAAAGGGCCCCCCTAGCTCGCAGGCCCCCCCGCAACGCGGGCCCACTGATTCATGGTTTCTTTCATTTCCATTCTTAAATAGCAAAGAAAAACTAATAGGCCTAATAAAATAAATAAAAAACTTTGTTAATGTTTTTGATATTTTGTTTTCATTTAGGCCTGTATCATATGGTAAAATTAAATTCATTGTAATCAATAATCAATAATCAATCGTTGAGATGTTATTGTGATATTAACATTGAATCGGATGGATAACGATAGGCTTATTTATTGTTATTCATCCAATAATATATCGCAGGTTCTCTGTGGAACTGTAGCCTAACTTACTCTTTTAAATAAAAAAAGATTTTTAAAATCTATCCAAGTTTCGCGGTTATCGATGAGGGCCGCTATATCAATAGTAGCATGAGTAACAAGTAGGCCTAGCCTAAATATAACCAGGACTAGGGTTAGTTACTCCGTTGTGTGGCCGCACATTTGTTCAAGTAAAAAACAATGTAAAACTTATCCGTGTTCTTGATTTAAATGTTTAAGTTTTGTGTATTGACGATAGTGTATTACAAAAGACTGTAAGAAGGAAGAGGTTTAAAAATTAAACTGTTGTTTCTACGCTAGTCGCTCGAGACTAGGTCTAACTAGGGATGAGCATCGATAGTCGATGTTTTCGAAACAATGATTTTTTCTATACATGTTCTATGCTTTTGAAATCGATGGTAGGTTCTTTTTGTTACATCGAAGTTTTTGTTAAACATTGATGTTTTTGGCCAAAGATAATTATGTTTTCCACTAAGTTACGGGAGAGTACAAAAAGCAGATGAAAAAACATCGATTTTTTAGTCCGACGTCAACCATCGATGGTTGACCTATCGATACTCATCCCTAGGTCCAACTAGCAACTAGCCTAGCCTAGGATTGACGGGTTGTACCGGTATTGTATAGTAACCTATGTCTTCTGTGCCTATGTAGGCCTACCGATCGGTATTGTAACCTGTCTACAATTATTTTTAAATCCAACCAATTTCAGAGGATATGAATCTTTTACTGAAAATAGACCTAGCCTTCAATAAAATAATTTACCATGCAGGGTAAAATATTATTTCAATTCAATTCATATTTCATAATATTATTTCAATACATACCTCAACACAAATCAATATTTCACCACTGATCAATGACCAATCAATGATTGAATGATTATTGATTTTGACTCATTGCTCAAGCTCAGCTCACGTTCCATTGAGTTTTGTTTTGGTTGTTTTGACTTATACCATAGATTAAACAACACAAGTACACTTCTCTCTCATCCCATTGTAAATTTGGAAGCTCGTTTTTCATGTCTAGTTCATGTACGCCACACTGGGCGCTAAGTTAGTGTTGACGAAATGTTGTTTCTATTATTTTAGGGTAAATTTCTTGATTTGTGCATTACTGTTTGGTTAAATAACTAGGGGACAATTTATTGTTTATGATTAGATTGTATTATTTGGTAAAACGAGGTTTTAAATGACTGCATTAACGGGAAACAAATTGTAAACAAAACATGACCTCTACATAAACCATACAGAACTAACAATAAAGTTGTCTTCAGCCACGGCCGCCTTTAACTACGGAGTTTAAGTTTAAGAGTTAAGGCGGCCGTGCTTCAGCTGTTCGATTAGGATGAGAAATCTACTAAGGGAGTATGTTTTATCTATGCTTACACTTATGTTTCCGTCTGATCTGAACTAACTTACCAGTTAATACTCGACGTACTGACGGCCACCTTTAACTCCATCCAGGCCGCGGCCTTCGAAGTGGCAACGTCGCAAGTGGTGTAACAGCTGTTTTGTTTGAATCAAGAATCAAGAATCAAGAATCAAGAATCAAGAATCAAGAATTTTTATTTCCATAAAATGTGGTTACATTGCTGGAAAACGTCAGTCAACTATAGCTAAAAAAGAATAGAAACTAAAATAAGACAATGGTACAAGGTTTCTTACCAATATAAAGAATTACATTCCTGAAACTCTCCATGCAAAGAGAAGAAAAAAAAAAAACAGCACACAGCACTCGGTTGAAAAACTAAAAAAAACTACTTACAAGTTCTTCTTTCAAATCAAAAAATTCTCTGTTTTTGTACAAAGGGTTTGCCAAAAGGAGCCCCTCAACACCTTTTCTAAATTTTGGGTCCGGCAGGTTCCGAGCTGCAAAAGGAAGTTTATTAAAAAACTTATAACTTAGAATCTCATTCGACATCTGAACTTTACTTAATCTAACATGTGGTAAATTGATATCATTTTTCCTACGTGTATTATAGGGATGGATGTCGCCTCTCAGCTCAAGAGAATCCCATTCCTTCTTGATTTTGATCAAGGACTGAAAAATATAGAGGTTACAAACTGTCATTAAGTTCTCAGCTACAAATATGGGTTTGCAATGGTCCAAGTAATCAGCACCAGCTACTACTCTAACTGCTTTCTTTTGATAGCGCAGAACTCTCTTGACCCCAGAGGCGGCACCCCAGAGCCTTAGGCCATACAATAAAATACTCTGAAAGAAAGCAATATAAGCAGTTTTCAGCCAGTCCTTTGGTACAAAATATCTCAGTCTTCTGAGTAGACACAGAGCTCTGGAAAGTCTAGCACAAACATGGCTAATCTGGTCATTCCAGTCTACTTTATTATCGAGATGTAAGCCTAGAAGTTTGACAGATTTCACACTATGTTCTAAGTTTCTTAGGCTAAAGATTATTGACTTAGTCTTTGTCTCATTTAGAAAAAAGTGATTTGCTCGGAACCAGGCCGATGCCCCCTCAAGAGATCGTTTCATGGCTTCCTCAAGATCTCCCAGTTCATTACTAGTTTCAAAGAGTGTAGTATCATCTGCGTAACAGATGACACCTTGCCCCAAACACAAAGCGAGATCATTAAGCATGACATTGAAGAGTAAGGGACCAAGAATTGAGCCCTGAGGTACACCATGGGTCAATTGCTGTACACTGGATTGTCTGCCATTTATACAAACCAGCTGCCCACGTCCAGTCAGGTATGACTCAAACAGTTCAAAAAGTTTCCCCTTAACCCCATAGAAATTTAACTTTCCCAGGAGGGTGTCATGATCCACCATGTCAAAGGCCTTGCTGAGGTCACAAAGAGTGGCCCCAGCAAAGCCCCCATCCTCAAAAGACTGAAAAGCTGCCTTTATTAACTTGTCAACCGCATCAGTAGTGCTGCGGTGAGGCCTGAAACCAAACTGGGCAGCTGAGAACAGATTATTTGCTTCAAAATACAGAGAGAGCTGTTCTTTAATAATAAACTCAAGGATCTTAGAGAAAGATGGCAGAATAGAAATTGGTCTAAAATTCTCTGGCAGGTTGGGATTGCCTTTCTTGTGAATAGGCACAACCCTGGCAATTTTTAAAACATCAGGGAAAATACCTTCTAAAATACAACAATTGATACAGTAAGTTAATGGGCTAACTATAGAGAAAATTATCTGTTTCACAAAACTAGTAGAGATATCATATATGTCTCTGCTAGAAGAATTCTTTAACCCTTGCACTACAGATATGACTTTATCACATGAAACTGGGGACATGTGAAAGGTACTAGTAGGTGGAGGATGTTTTCCCAGTAGTTCTAGGCCAGAGGTAGGGGGGATTCCAATAGCGTCACGGGTCTGTTGGACCGAGTTCACAAAAAATTCGTTGAACTCACTGGGTGTTAGGTTGGTCAGCTGTAAAGGTTTTGTTGGAACCACTTCTCTCTTTATAACCGTCCAAGCTGCAGAACAAGGATTTTGTGCAGATTCAATGAATTTGACATTACTTTCAAATCTGGCAAGCTTAAGGCTTTCTTGGTATTCATTTTTGACTCGCAGATATCTTGCTTTAGCTTCAGGAGTTTTGGATACCTTGTACATATCATAGGTTAAAAGTTTCCACTTTCTTAAGGTTAGTAAAGTGGGATTGTCTGTATAGGGCTGGATGGAGTTTTTTAGATTCTTACGGGGCCGGAGGGGTTTTTTGGGAAACCACTCGTTAACCAACATTAGAAAAGTATTTAAAAACTGGTTAAATTTTTGGTTAGCATTACCACCTTGAAGTAGAACATACCAGTCTATGTTAAAGAGATCACCCACAAAGCTATGTATTTTACTTACAGGAATCTTGTTTGGAAGCAGCTAATGGTATATTTGTGTATTTAATTTACGAAAGATTGCTGGTTAATGGACTATGACAATATTGACTCCGCTTAAAATGTACAGATATAGATTTTTAATTCATATTGTTTTGGTTTTCAATTCTGAATGTTTTATTTAATTAATGAGCTGATGTCACCTGTCTGCCATGTTATCTTATGGGACGTCTGTCACTAAACAACACCACTTGTGACGTTGCCAATTCTACCAGGCCGCGGTAGTAATTTTCTAAGATGTAATTTTCTAGATCATTAATTCTTATAGAATAATAGACTATTATGTACAAACTGCTGACATATGAATAAACATTTACGTCATGCCAAAAGAAATAGAAAATTATTTTAAAGTAATGGTAAATAATACTGTTAAAATAATATTTACGAGAACTTTTAGTCTCGTTATAATAAACATTTCGATTTAAATTCAAACATTTTGCTAGTAAAACATATTGTCTCGTCAATAGTCGAATAGTCTTTTATTGAGTGGTATAAGTCACTATTTCGTAGATAAAGTAAATAATATCCATAAACCTTCCTCTGTTTTGAAGTAAGTAAGACCAATGAATACACAAAAAAAGACCTCTTATTGTGGGTCAACCCCTAGGAGGATTAAACATTATTGAGAGGACACGCTGTAGTTTCATTGAAGTCGGGTGCCGTACTTGGATTGGATACTTATGTTTTATATTATTTTTAATACTATATCCATAAATTTAAATTTAAATCATGATCAGTACTGTAAGTGTATTTGAAAATTTTGTCTTAAAGAGAAATAAAACAAGTTTTAATCCTTTAAAAGAATGGTAAACGCATTTTGGCGTCAGAAGACGCGATGATTACTGAACGTGTACACTTTTTACTCAAAGTTTCTTTGGGCAAACAGATCAAAATGTATAGCTCAACATGATATCAATATAGCTCAAAAATCATTAATTTGTTTGCCAAGAAATTGTTTTACTTTTTATGTTAGTAATTAAATTGTAACAACGCTGTTAGTGTAAAAAAAGTGATCGCGGATTTGAATTTTTTCTTAACTTTGACTATTTAAAATCACCTGCCTAGCCCATAAATGCCTTAAAACTAGTATTAAAATGTTATTTATAAATCGAGAAAACGAAGAAAAATGCACATTTAAAATGTATTTCACCACCCAAATTAAATTTTTCATTTTTACCTATATTTAATAAGATTGTTTTATAAACTGGAAAAATTAAAAAGAATTGTATTGTAATTATTTTTCTAAATACTACTTTTAAATAAAGGCGGTAAATTTATATTTTTAATTTCGAGAAACTCTTAAGGAACACGAATAAATTGATAATTTGTATAGATAAATATCACAAAACACAAATCATTCATCAAACGCCCAGATTAACAAAAGACACAGCTAACATACAGACACTTACCACATCCTAAAACGAATATACGTACGTTCATCTTGTGCTTTGTAAGGTTTTATATTGGTGGTTGTTGGTACATGTTTCTTTCAAAAACGTAATTAAAGTAATCATATGTTCAAAGTCCGGGACAATTATTTCAACTTTGAACTTCAATAATAAATAATCGTTTTTATAGAAATTATTGACACCATTCGATAGGAAATTTTATTTACTTTAAGAATGCCATCGGTGAATAACACAGGTGTTTTAGTTTTAGCGGCAATTTTAATTCGAAATAGCGCGCGCCTCTCGGTAAGAATCTCTCGCTAAGCAAAAATACAATCGAAACGTCTCGAGAGGTTCAAACAAAACGTTCGATTGTAACATCTGCATCTCGCAATCGCGCATCACCGGAGCACTAGCATTGAGTATAAACATAACTTATGTTATGTTTATACTCAATGCTACTAGTCACTAGTGGTTGTGGTTGTGTCCGAAGTGGGTCTGACTTAGGGGAGGTACGAATGAGGCATTTAGTTCTAAATTCCTCCGTGAACAGCGCTGTAGTAGAGAGCACTTTGGCAATGAAGGTTTACTAATCGCAAAAATAGTTCTGTTCATAAAATAAAATTATAAATGCCTCAAATTCAATTTTATTATTTTTTAATTATAAAATTA